GACAGCTTGCTCGGAGGAAGCAGCTGTTATTGCTGGCACGCTTTCGTGTTGTCGACTGCTTGCTCGGAGGAGGCAGCTGAAAAGTCGCAGATTTCGAGTTGAGGGGGAGAGGGTCAGCGACTTTACAACTGCTTGTTTTGGGCAAGCTGTTGACAACACGAAAGCCTGCTCGAGGTCTTGCTCCGGTTCTAGAGATCAACGTGCAGGTCTAGCAGGTGTAGTAGCAATACTGTCTGCCCGCTGTGCTTGCCAGAAGAAACCATCATCCATGCTGTCCCCTATGCCTTCCAGAATGCTACTTTGAGACTGCTTCAACATCGGCATGCCAATTTTTCAGTGCAAGCCAGCAACATCATGACCGAAAGGCATGCGCAGACATTCATCTGAACCTGGCTCATTCATACAAGAACCATACATGGGGAGATCTACAGTTCATGCGGGGCTAGATCACAGCATATCACAGCAGAGAAGCCAGACAGTGTTTTCTGCGCATGCTGATCGAGTGTTGCCCAAGTGGCTGTGCCTGCGCAGCGGCCGTGTAAGACACAAGAAAGGGATTACGCAGGGATTATATAGGGATATTTAGGGGTTCCATTGTAACAACGGAGAGTCATGGAACAGAGTTGAACAGAGAGTGAGACTGTCTAGTGGTTTCTGCATGAGGGCCAGGGCGCTTTACTTCTGATTAGCAGGGACTGCAGGCATGGAAGCCAGTACATTATTAGGTTCTGTAGGGACGCTGAGGCTAAGATCGATCAACATGCACCAAAAAAAAACGCCTCGCTCGCTGTGATCTAGCTTTCGTCCGCGCTGTCTGAAGCCTGCTGCATTTCAGCATTGAGGTTTTCAGGTCATACAAATCTTCCCCATACTTCGATAGTTTTCTCTCGCTGCATGTGGCGTGCGCGGCGTGGGGCATGCATCATCCCTATGACTGCTGGCACATTGAGATCTGCGACATCAAAACCAGACATGGCCATCTCTGTGACTGCTGGCACATCTGAGATCTGCGACCTCTAAAAACTGTGACAGTTACGAACATTGCGATATATTGTGACCAAGGCCACAATCCTTGTAAGCGTTGGGCATTTTTAAGATCTGCTACATCAACACGACGACGGTTACGAGGATGACGACCTGGAGCCTCTAAAATTACAGCAAGTGCAAGGATGGTGGCCGGATGTAACCCGGATGTGCATAATCGTTGTGACTGCGGGAGTTTTTGGAGATCTTTGCGTGGTGCCCCGCTTGGTTCGTGATGGATTTGCGAAGAACTGCCTGCCTTCAGAATGGCCCCCCCCTCCCCCAACTAGGTCGTGGGGTTCGTCAAGTTTTGTGTCGGGCCTGACCGGTTCGTGAACGCTTTCGCTTTTTGTTTCAACCAGTCACCACTCAAATCTTCGGCTGACTTCCTACTGGGGACTCTGGCACTGCTAGCTTTGCACCATTTTGCACCTACCGCCCTCGGAACGTGCTGCCGCCTGCTAGACTCTGTTGCAGAGCTTCAAGTCACGGGACCTGGGCGTGGTCAAGCGAAGCAGCATGCTGGCTTCCCTTGCGATTTGCAGCCATTTTGGAGCGCAATTCTAGCACCAGCTTGAAAAATTGGCCAAGGAAAAGCCAAGAGGTGGGTCAGTTTTGTCCAGGGCTCAATGCTGCGGAGGGTTTACTCCACGTTAGTAACTCCAGGCGCCAATCGCCTGAAGACATGTTCCTGAGAATGATCAAATTGTCTTGAGCATTTCATACATAGCAGCTATCAGGTGCCGTCCTCATGGTGACGGATGATGATGATGATGATGATGATGATGATGCGAAAGCTTGTTCGAATGAGATGCTCACCTTCTTGGCCGTGCTGTCAATGAGTGCATGTGGGGTTTGAGATCGCAACGTTTGCTGAAATAAGAGAGCCTAAAGCAAGCACGTTACATTACTATGAGAAGATAGGAGGCTATCAACATGCACATGTATCTTCACGATGATATTCGCAAAGCTAGATTCTGGTATCAGGACAAAAAACACGGTGAATTGTTCAGGGATTTCAGGGATGCTGCACTTCTGATTTCTTGTAGCGAAGGATGTTTTCTTTTTTTGACCTTTGGAAAGGGTGCCTGACAAATTCGTCAAAGGCTGCCCAGCGTTCCCATTATTTCGCCCCTGAAAAACAGGAAAAATCTGCAGGATATTCTGCTTTGTCGGCCAGTCGAGTTCTCGTGCTGTGGACTTGACAAGATGCCAAACAAGAGCAGGTTCAGCAGGATGATTCAAGAATTTGCATTCACGTTTGGGATCAGAGGCCTTGTTCTTCGCGATGGTGTTCGTCATCACCTCCTATGTGTTCCCGCTATTCGTTGGCGTGGGTATCCTGCATGTCTTATGGATTCCTTCCGCGTGACCGCGCTCGCCTGCTGAAAGTCGTTGCCACTGCACTATAAGGCATCCGGACGAATATTGCAAAACTTCGTTGGAGGACAGCGGGTGCTGCATGTAGACGATGCAACAGAAGCACAACAACGTAGCAATGTAGCGCACCTCAGCAATAACGCCCACACCATAGCGAGAAGTGAGCCCCAAAGTCAGGTTCCAAAGAACAAGGATCTCTGATCCGAAGAGGAAAAGCAATGTATGCTAAGTACAAGGTCAATTAACTGGAGCTTCATTTTGGTAATGGAGTTTCAGAAGAATTGACTTGTTTTTGAAATTGGGTTGTAACACGCCTTACATTGGCTGTAACTATGAATTACACCATTTTTGATTAGGTGTGCTTTGATTCGAATTACTTCTCATTGGTTTAAAATGGACTGTTGCTGAGTTTAGTTTAACTTTGATTTGAAGTAGAGTTTAATTGCCATGTATGGGTTTTAGATGGACTTTTCATTGATTACCGGGGGAACGGATGAAAATTTAAGTCTCTTAATCTGAGCTCCTGATTACGCACAATCATGTTTTTTTCAAGAATTGAGGGATCAAGGTCTGAGTTTACTCTCCGGATTTCAACTATACCGTAAATCTAAACCTTACTATTTCGCGAGTGTTTGGGAATACATTCCTTTGAATCTAGAGGCTTTTGGCCCAAAAATGCCTCTGCCTTTAAAGTGCTCTTTGACCCAAATGGCGCATGTTTTGTGGAGCTCGGATTAGCAGTGGAGGCCGCAACATCATCTAATTGGCAAGTGCCTGAGCGAAGATACGTGTAAAATTTGAGGAGCTGGCAGAGCGGAACCCTAGCTTTGGTTGGGCAAGCTACTGGCGGACCCTTTGTCAAAAGCTGGGTAGCTGCGGGGCAGCGTTTGGCCCCTCCTACCTGTTGCACTACCACTTTTATGTGGCTGCTTTTTGATGCCAGAACTGTCACAAGCTTTGTTGCTCGAGGTGTTGTCAGCTGCCATCAGCAACATTGGTCAGTTCACGATCTTTGGAAGAATAGAATAGCATGCTGTTTTGCTTCTCGAGTCTACATGCCAGAGTGCTAGAGCTGAGGTGCGAGCAAGCTGCTTGGCAGAAGCAGAGAAGATCCCCAGCAGTAATCGTAGAAGGCTCACCAAGAGGTGCTGGTCAGAGGTGGCATCTACTCGAGCTTGGTGTATGTAGACGAAATCTGTAGGACTGGGTCAAGGTTGCTGTTTGTGATATCACAGAGGCGGCGAACGCATACCAGTTGGAGGGCATGGCGGAGCAACTGGGGATTCTGGCCTGGCTTCAAGTAGACCAGATGGGCAAGTCGAGTTGTGCTAGGAGCTTGGTTGGCTGCCGAAGTGTTTCACACGCCGGTCACGCAAGATGCTCAGACATGTTGCATTCTTCTACTGTGGCATGCCGTGGCAGCGTGCTGCGATGAAAGCTGTTGTGCCTACGTTTGGCTCGAGATCATTGCAAGATATGTTCTAGGCATGGTCCAGCCTTAAGTCAGGCTTAACGTCTGAAAATACTTCAGACGGCATACGTTTCTTGGCTTCTCAGGTTGGCAAGCGTTTCCAGCCGCGATGTGATTATGAGAAAAGAAGGGTGGCTGGTACATTGCTTTGGGTGGTAAGGGCAGCTGAGGTGTTTCACGCTGCAGCCTGCCGGGTATGCAGCAGCATCGCTTGAGCTTTGCAGTTGGTGCCAGCTACGGTAGTGCTGAAGGCACCAGCGCTTTCAGGTTGACACAGCTTCAGCTTCGATGGTGAATTCTGACATTCCACCAACTTGAACCAATTCCTGGACCTCTTGGTACCAGACTTCGAGAACGAAGATTCGGAAGGGTTTGCGAAAGGGCTTTCTTGCGGAGACTCCCCCGCAAGCTTGTGACAATGCAAGGCCTATCTGCCTATCTATCTTTAATTCCACACGCCGAAGAGTACAAGAGCGTCTCGCAGAAGGAGCAGTGTAAAGACATGCCCACAAGCGTTGTGTAAGAGCGCACGCAAGAATGAAGCCTTCGATGAGTAAGTGCCTCGCGGAAGCAACGTTAAAGTGCAGAAGGTTCGTGTAAGGGTTTCGCGGAAGCAGGTTTTTCGTGTAGATGCGTGTCGCAATAAACACCATGGCTCACGAATTGGAGTGCGAATTCGCCAGGCACACCAGTCGCGCATGCTGTAGCATTGTGCAACTTGTCGGCTTGCTGCCAGCCCTATGAGAATACGAGGGTGTAGGAGGTGCCAGATCATAGCTGCTCTAGCTAGTACTTGCAACCGCACAAGTTAGTGTTTGAGGTCATGCTCCAGCCGCGCCCATGACTTTGGCCGAGGAGCGTGGGACAGGTCAGGGCACTCGGTGCATCTACTGGACTGGTGTGGCAGTGTGCTGCCAACAATAGGTACCCAGTACTTTGATGCATGAACCCGCAGCATCCCGCAGCAAAGGGTGTTGTGCTGAAGCGTTTAGAAAACCCTTGGCTAGGATGGTAAGTTGCTCTACTACATGTAGTAGGCTGAGTCTGCAGATGTTGCTATACACTGCTTGTGAGGTTGGATCTTTCCTCTCGAGCCACTTTGGATGCTCCGCTATGGGACCCCTTCCTTGTACGAGTTGCCTTGGCTACATTCAAGAGAAGACACTCCAGCTGTTTCGGTCAGGGGTTTTGCACCGTTATCAGTGAACTTGGTTTGGTTTTGACTCGAGGGCATCTTGACGTGGGAGAGGGCTGAGGGTTGCTGCCGGCCTCTTGCACAGTACTCCGTGCATGTGCATATTAAAATCTGTGGGAACAAAGTCTGGGAGATGGCCTGCGGCGGCAAGTGGTCGCAAGTACCTTTGGCACATTCCGCGCTGCCTGCAGCTCACCCATTCAGGATTCCAACCTCAGACTGCTGGCTGCTTTCTTGGCGAAATTGTGTTCGAACTGCAGGCTGGTGCCGCGTCATCTGCGAGTCATCCAAAGCTACCAGACTTCATCAGACATCATTTTGTTGGGATCAAGATGCCAGCCTGGAGCAAGTAGCTTGCTTGGCATGTCGAGTTAGTACGTTTGCTGCTCCCGGACGGTCTTAGCAATCTTGACTCTGCGCAGCATGGTCATTGCTATCTGTGAAACACAGTGTTTCAAGCCATTCAGGCTTGCCGCATTTGGTTCTGCTGGTGGGGACTGCAACAAACGCAGCAGAGCCTGCATCGATCTGCAACCTTAAATGGCTGGGGAGTATGTAGCACACAGCATTTCGCGAGTAAGGTGCCCTCCCACATGACCAGTGACCAGTGAAATGCTCGGGGAGAGCGATCGCTACAGAGCCTTGAGGTATTCCTCATCGTCAGAGTTGTAGAGGACTACACGCACTGGCGCTGCTCAGCTCATTCATGTCTGCGAATGATTATCGGGAAGATTGGGGCCTGAGCTGATATGTATATATATATATGTATATAGTTGCAACATAATATGTTGTAACTGCATAGCAGTGTGAAGCCTGTGCTCCACGTTGAGAGATGATAATGACCTAATGACATCCATATGAGATCATCCAGGCAACCGCGAGAATGCGTATCTGGCAGTGCTTGCAGCATCGGGACTTTTCTCGCTTTACTGCTCCGACCTCAGCCTTGCGCCGCTGGAGCGATGGTCCATGCCAACACAACACGGTGTGGCTGCCCACTTCAAGGCAATGTTCTCAAGGTTAGCTATTGGGCTCTCCAAAGGAACCTCCTGGGCCATCCATGCCGTCTCAGATGTGCCGGGGCTTTTGACATGTCTTGGGATGCTGTCATGGCCCAGTGCAGACAAGAAAGTTTTACGCAGAGCCCATCAAAGGGACCTACCCCATCAACTTCAGCAACATGTACGGGCATCAAAAATCAGGCCCATTGCCCGATTCCTGAACCATCTGCCCAAATTGGGTGCTGAAGACCTCTTATCAGATGTCACTGGCTCTAACATGCTCTAACTGGACGTTACGAGGAGGGGATGATATTTATGCCAGGCTGCCTGTCTTTAGAGCGTTTGCTGCCAAAAAAAACATTGGCTTCTGGAACAAAAGCCGGGCTTCCAATTTGCAACCCGTCCAAAAAAGGTGCGGGACCCGAAAGAACCCGTTGTGGAAATCCCGTTACGCGGCGATTCTCACACTAATGCTCCAGTGCTGTCGACGACAAGTGTGGTCACCAGTGCGGTCGCTCACCGAGGCTTGTGGCAGCTCATGCGTGAAATGGCTCAGTATCGCTCCTAGGCAAGCAGTATGCACCGTACCTGCATGAATTTGAAGTGGACTTGGGGAGCGGCGCGTGAAGAGATGATGGGAGCTAATTGGTAACCTCAGCCTTGTAAGGTTGAAAAGGGCACTCTACATTAAAAAAGTCTGGCCTTGGCACTGTTCTCCCCTTTTGTTATTGCAGAAGCTGAGTAGCATATTCCCCAAACTGCATTTCCCTGAGGCTATGATTTGCAGCAGAGATCTGCGCAAATACAAGCGCTCAAGGATGATGTGGCCAGGCACATGGTTTACTTAGCCTATCATCATAAATGCCTGTTTTAGCCGTTGCTTGCTGAGGTGAGGGCATGCAAACCATCAAAAAAGTCCAGTGCAAAAAGTCCAGTTTGGCGGCCATTCAAATGAAGCCGCCCTGTTTAAGTTTTTTTTTTTTTTTTT